TACTTGTGGTCATGGTGTCTCTCCACAGCAATAGAAACCATAACTAAGACATACCTCATGCCAGCTGTCTTGTCACATATTCACCAGGAAAATCACTATTTGATTTTTATGTAAGTCATTATGGACCTGGTTGAAGAAAAAATGACGTGATATTCAGTATACATACATAGAATCTTAGAAAGTTCAAAATATTGAGGGTTTTGTCATATAACCCTTAATTAACATGTTTCTCATATGAACCGTTGGGGTCACTGGCCTCTTGTGGAGGCAAAAAAAAAAAAAAAAAAAGCCTCAAGATTTAAGAGGTGTGAATGAGAGGTGTGTCCTACAGGGTCTTTCTTTCATGTTATTTGCTCCCCTTTGCTGTCACAGTCAGGTTTTAGTTTTCAAAGGTAATGGGTATAAGCTGACTAGCCAGGTGCTTGTCTCCCATTCCCCAAAGACTCCACAGACTCCCACAACAGTGCCACCAGCTGGTGACCACATGCTAAGAACACAAGTGCTTGTGGGACACATTTCAAATTCAAACCATGCATAGCTCTTCCGGGCAAACTAAGTCGTGACACAACAGAATCGCCATGATTGATTGGGTTGCTTATGGCTCCACCAGCCTCCTCAAAAGGCCATGCTTGGGTCTCCTTCCTTATCAGCATGCAGTAGTGGACTATCCATTTCAGGACGAAGAGGCCTTTGAGTTTGGCAAGCCCCATGACAGGCTGTGCGTATCCAGCCTACCTCCATCCCAGCCTGTATGTGTGCTCATTGAACTACAAACCTACTTTGTACTCACTACTTCTTTTCCTTCCATGTCTCGGCTCTCAGTAAAGTTACCTAAATCCTACCTACTCTTAAAACATAGTTGTAGCTGTCAACGAAGTCTTTTGTTCTTACCTCACTGCAAAGTGATTGCTATCTGGGGGGGTTTACCCAGGCCCTTTTCATTTGTGTACCTTGTATCAGGAGTCATTTGTTGGTGTTGCCTACTCACATGCCTAACTTGCACTGACAGCTATTTCAAGCTCTATAATATATATTTAATAAAGGTCTGCTACTTGTAACCTTGGTGAATACCCTGGGGTCTCGGTTATCTCTTGTAAGTCAGTGCCCCACTCTCCCGTGCTACTAGGATAATTGAAGCATCCTGGGGGTGACTTTCGTATTAACCTAAGGGAAAGAGGACAGCACACACAAAGAAAGAGAGAGATTGGAGGAGACTCTGATATGAGGGACAGTGACCTTCATGACTTCATTTTAGAGAAGCAGAGAGATCAAACTTCCAGAATCTAAACTTGTTCCAAGAAAAGCCAGCGAAGGCAATAGGGACGGAGAATTGAGTTGTGAGAAGGATTTTCCACTGTGATCTTGCCAGTCTGCAAGCAAACATAAAGAGTTCCATGAACTGGAACATTAGCTTAGCATCTAGAGTGGAGCCAAAGGCTGAAACAGTTTGACCTTTAGAGCAGTCTATTTCAGACTACATTTTATTATGGAAGCACATTCCGCAATATCCTTGTAGTAAGAATGACACTCTTATCAGAACTGACAGCAGCTTCTCGCCTCAGCAGAATGACGGCTGCGACTGGGAACCTGGCTGAGTGGGACTCTGCAAGGAAACTCACTGGAGTCATGAACAAGTACCCAGGCTAGCCCAGGGAGGGCCTGTCAGGTCCACAGCAGTTACATGGCTGAGTTCACCAACGGTCAAAGGTTAAAAACTCACTGCATGGCAGCTGAGTAAATGCTGTTTGGGGAGCCTGTCAACAAAAATCTTACATAAAAAAATAGCTAAAAATATGTAACGTCTATCAGGAAAACCCGACTTAAGAAATGAATACTGTGAACGAAAAGGGTTAGCTTTAACATATTCTACTCTTTTTCTCAAGATCCTAGCTAACCCAGGTGGATCTTCAGGAGTCCAGCTGACGAGAGAGAGAGAGAGAGAGAGAGAGAGAGAGAGAGAGGAGGGATTATATGAGCAAGAGATATTGACACCATGATTGGGAAAAAAAAAAAAAGCACAGGGACAAATAGCCAAACTAGTAAAAACACATGAACTATGAACCAGCAGCTGAGGAGCCCCCATGGAACTGGATCAGGCCCTCTGGATAAGTGAGACAGTTGTTTAGCTTGAACTGTTTAGGAGGCCCCCAGGCAGTGGGACCTGGACCTGTCCTTGGTACATGAGTCTGCTTTTTGGAACCTAGGGCCTATGCTGAGACGCTTTGCTCAGCCTTGGTGCAGGGAGGAGGGGACTGGACCTGCCTCAGCTGAATGTACCAGGCTCTGCTGACTCCCCAGGGGAGACCTTGCCTTGGAGGAGGTGGGGATGGGGCATGTGTTGGGGGGGGGGAGGCTGGGGCGTGGGAGGAGGGAGGACAGGGGAATCTGTGGCTGATATGTAACATGACTAGAAAATCTCTTTTATTAAATAAATAAATAAATAAATAAATAGTCTGATTAAATGAGAAAAAAAAAAAAAAGATCCTAGCTAAGAGTATAGCCTTTAAGATAATGAAGCTAGTTTGGAAACACACCAAAACAAACTATCCCAAACCAAAAAAAAAACCTCCAGTTGAGTGACATTTGGGGTTGAAAAGAATAGTCTTACAATGATTGTACAAGAAAAGTCTAAAAGAGATAAGATGACTTTCCCCTTGTAGACAGTGAGTCAGCATGAGCTCAGGTTTGGAAATATAGACCTCTTGGCACTAACTGTAGGAAGATGCTTTTGATCTCTAACTTCCGGAAGAACGGAGGAATGATTGCTGCTGAAAGCTTAGGGCCTTTCCCATAGGAAGCACGTCACTCTTCACGTTGGAATGACTATAAAGGGAGAGTGCTTCGGCTTTTACTTCTTTTTCTATTTCTTCTTCCCTCTTTTTTTTTCTTGCATTATTTTAATTGTTCTCTTCCTGAGTCTAGATAACGCCTGAACACATTTAAACTAAATCTACATGCCCATTTTCATTCCCCCTTCATGATCTCAGTTTTACTTACTAAAGCAGTATGTTCCTCGGAGTTTCTTCTGTATCCTTCTAGAGTCAGTTGATGTACTTAAGCACGTATGCAGAATGAATTATACTTTGCATATTATTCTTCATTTTGGTTTTCTAATGAAATTTGTCTAGACAACTTTTATGAATTTGTCAGCTGCTGTGGGGTGGTCTTTCTGTACGCTGTGAATATGCGTTGCCACCACTTGTTAATAAAGAAGCTGTTCTGGCCTATGGCAAAACAGGATAAGAGTCAGGCAAAAAAAATCTAAGCAAAGATACAGGGAGAAGAGAGGCAGAGTCAGGGGAGACACTGAGAGCCACCAGGGGAACAAGATGTAATGGAATACAGGTAAAGCCACGAGGCACATAGACTAATAGAAATGGGTTAATTTAAGAGGAAAGAGCCAGCTAACAAGAAGCCTGAGCCATAGACCAAACAGTTTGTAATTAATATAAGCCTCAATGTGTTTATTTGGGACTAAGAGGCTATGGGACAGGAAAACTTCCGGCTACAGTCAGCCTTATCTTTCTTCTCTCAATTTCAAGTTTTTGCTATGAGTTTCAGTATGTGTGAGTGTAGGTGCACACAGCTCATGGTGCCTGTAGGAGGGGACAACATTCAGGGGTCAATTGTCTCCTTTCACTGTGTTGAGACAGGGTCTTTCCTGGTTTGGGCTCTCTGCATATTCCAGGCTGGCTGGACCACAAGCATCTAGCCTGCTTTACATCTCTCCATCTCCCTGCAGGAGAGTTGGAGTTACAGATGCATGTCACTGCAAACCAGTGAGTGGCTTGATAAAATCACCTCCCGGAGACAGATCTTTCTGAGTTAGCCTGGTTTGGTATATCTATAATGTTAACGGAAGCGGTCAGCTTGTTTCCCATGAAACTTCTACAAACTTATGAGTTTCAGGTTCGGTAACAGAATGATAATTTGCCCAAGCCCTGGTCAAGGAGAATGTCAACATTTTTTATTCTAGGTTTTGTTTTTGATGTGTGTGTGTACATGTGTGAGTGGATGCACGTGTGTGTGTGTGTAGAGTCCAGAGGTCAGTGTCAGAATCTGTCCCCCCTTTCTTTTGAGACAGCTCTCTATTGAACCTGGAACTCATTAATTATTTATTAATCAGAAAGTCCCAGGTATCCTCTTGTTTCTGCCTTTCCAGGGAGCACTATTCTGCCAAGTGGTTTATTTATTTATTTATTTATTTATTTATTTATTTATTTATTTATTTATTTATTTTAAAGTGGGTGCTGGGTTTGGGACCCAGGTCCTCATGCTGATGTGACTATCCCTTCACCAACTGAGCCAGCTCTTCAGCCCAGCTTTATTCACGGAAAAAAAAAATATTATCTCATCATTTTAGTTTAAATTCCCCTTACTTTGAATGAGAGCAAACGTCTTTTATGGTCTAAAGATGCTTTTCATGCCTTTACTTAATTAGCAAGCACGGTTTTCTAAAAATTGTTCTTCAACTTTTCATTTAAGTGCTAACTCGATGTTCCTTTTTACAATTTCACTTTGGAAATGGGTTCACGGTTCATAGTCTAGTGACAGCTGATTGTCCACATTTGGTCTCTGTCATTCTCCTCCAAATTCTCTGAGTTACTTCGTTTATCTCAGCTGAGTAAAGGTGTGTGTGTGAGTGTGTGTGTATGTGTGTGTGTGTGTGTGTGTGTGTGTGCATTCACACAGGCAAGTCAGTGTGAGAAGTGGGTTATCATCACAGTGGTTTTTAATCAGGGCTCCATCAGCAAAGCCCACATATCTGTCCCTTCATTATCTGTTTGAATGTCAGAATATTCTTGGGTATGGCTTATCAGAGACAAGACCAACATCAAAGAAATATCAGAACAAAGGTAAAGGCTGTCCTTTTTTTGTTCCTTTGAAAGGGACTGTTTTTTTAAAAAAAAAAAAAAAATCCCTTGTGATGAGAACCTTTTACAAATTCTTTTGTGATTTCAACTTGCCATTAAACATGACTTCCCTAATTTTTCTTACAGATTCCTGTATAGTCTCCAGAATGGCAGAGAGATAAGCTATCTGATATTTTTAAGAAGATCTGAGGTCAGTGGAGGAAGTAAGTGGTTTTAACTGGAAAAGCAGACTTGCCTGTCTGTACATGTGTTACAATAAAAATGCCCCTGTGAGACTTTCTGGTAAGTGATGGATAACCCCCCCAACACACACACACCATCTGCTGAGAAAGTCCCTGCACTTGCACAACCTGCCGCTCTAACCTTGTTTCCATGAAAACTCCAGTCGGGAGTGACAGTGTACAGCTGGCAACACTCCCCTCTGTCACGTGACTTGACAGTATAGACCAGAGATAGGCAAGGGAACTGTGCCGGTCTCTGTTGTCAGTTTTATTGACAGGAAAAAAATGAGTCATTAGAAAAGGCCGTCTGAATTACAGACCTAATTCAGTTCCTGTGTATTAACCAGCAATTCAATCAAGCCCAAGACAATTTTCAAGGACCTGAAGCAGCGGAGTGCAACTGGCCTGAGGTCTGTTCAGCCTAGTCATGAGCTGTCTACTGATTTCTCTCCCCTTGTCCAAGACATGCTGTCAGTAGATTTGACCGTTTTCAGCCTAGTGCAAGACGGTGGTATAAATTTCAGGGTTGTCACCACTCTGTCTATTCAGGTATAATTTTGGAAGTACAAATAACAGGGCTGTGTGTTTCCTAATTCAATGATTTAGTTTCATGCTTTGAAATACTTCATTAAAATATTTGGTTGGTTAATTTCTGCTACTACTGTGGGGAAAGATTTGACTACAATGGTCACTTGTTTCCTGAGACCAACCATAAAACTATTCCTGAATATAAAAGAGTTAGGAGAAATTTAACAAAGAGGGAAATTTATGAAAATACTGGATATTGCAGTTTTAATATCCTTTGTTTTGTAAGAATGTATCTTTGTAGTAATTTTAGGCCTGACAACTAAAATCAAATTGCGATAAAGAAGAATATTCTGTGATGTTGACTTTTATTCAGTAGTATGTTAAATATTATGTTAAAATATTTCTTAGTGATAAGGAACCACTCAGCGATCAGTTTTTCTCTGAGTTTGTGGTGCATACTGACAGAAGGATCATGACAACAGTATCTTCTTCCATACCGAGTGCGCAAATAGAATATGGCAAGGGAGGTTGGCCAATTGTTTTGGCCAAGTGACTGATTAAAAATAGAATGTTTAGTTTTTCTTTATGATAACTACTCCATAGCAAACCCAGAAAATATAGTAGAATATAATTAATATATGTTAATATATGCTAATTTGAAATGAAAACATATCATTTAAATAACAAATAGAAGAAAAAATATAGCAAATACATTGAAGGAAGTCCCAGCCTTAAAAAAAAACTAATAACCTCTTCTGAGAATCACATGGATGATTATAATAAATGTTTTCCAGTTTGGAAAACAAGATACGATGTAAATGCCTATACTATGGAGAAATGATGGCTGCACGTAATGCAAACCCTTAGAAACATTTGAACTGTTGGGAATATTTCCGGCTTTCATCTGAAAGTGTAAACTTGCAAGATTTACCATTTTGGAAAGAAAATCGTCGGTGGATTTTGCATTACTGAGAGCATGTTAGCAAGTACAAGCACGGAGCATGGTGACTCGAATGCAGGAAACAGCAGACACACGAGACAGGAGACCAGGACAGTTCAGCGTCGATTCGCATGACATTTCAAGTGAAGTTTGGGTGCCTGGGAGAGGAATGAACTGGCCCGACAGCTCCAATGACTGGCTGTATTTTCACAGGTCCTTATGTCCAAAGTGGCTAAGCACAAAGCGCTCTTATGGGCCTGGGGGCAGATGAGCTCGGATGTGGTCTTTGAGTTGCTGGAACCACTAGAAACTTTCTGTGAACCACCTCATTGATTTACCCTACAGCAACAGGAAGCAAACTTACTTTCCTTCTTTCTTTCTTTCTTTCTTTCTTTCTTTCTTTCTTTCTTTCTTTCTTTCTTTCTTTCTTTCTTTCTTCCTTCCTTCCTTCCTTCCTTCCTTCCTTCCTTCCTTCCTTCTTTTCTTTCTCTCCTTCCTTCCTCCTTCCCTACCTTCCCTCCTTCCTTTTTTCTTTCTTTTCAATACACAAGGCCACTTTACTATAATGAACTCACAAATAAAAACTTCACACAGATTAACATTCAAACAAACAGTTGCCTAGTCCCAAACTCTGTGGTCTCAATGATCTTCTATTCAGTTAGAATGGGCATTTTGAAGACATGGAGCTTCACTTGGAGTTTTACACTTTTGCTATGAATTACCTTTTTACTTATTTATCCAACACACAAAGAAAGAAAAAAAATGAAAGTTAACACCTTAGAAAAGCCATTATCTTTATATTCACTTCATGATTAGTGTCCTCTGCCTGCTTCCCGTCATTCCTTGTCACCTTATGTTACCCTTTCCTGTCCTTTCTGAATGTTATAATAGCCCCACATGCACATTTGTTCTTATGAGCCCTATGGGGCAAAATGTATTAGGAAGCACTTATTTCTACATGTACCAAACATTAAATGGACTTGAAAGTCAAATGCATTGAAATGGATTTAAAAATTAAATGGAAATAAAATTGTAGAAAGAAGTACCATAAAGTATGAGCAAAAGTTCCAGGGGTCCCCATTAAAACCAAAGTGTTCAAACATGTGAGCCTGTGGGAGACATTTCACACTCAATCCACAACTCTGGTTCTGGATGGGTGTGGACGTATCATCTCTGAAACTTCTTCAACTGTGCCACCATCAATGGTGACAGTAGCCACCTCAACAGCCTGGGGTGGAGCATTTTTGTCCATGGTGGTGGTCACTAATGGCTAGCCATCTTAGTAGCAAGGACTTTCTGATGCCTCCTATTCTTATTTTCTCGTAGTCAAGTGACTTAGCTGCCAGGATCCCTCTTGATGCCAGACCTGACTTGTGCCCCACGGGCAGCTGCAGTAGTGGTATGTGCCAGGACACAGGTGCTGAGAGACAGTGGAACTGGGTTTCTGCATGAGTGTCCTGTTGAACTGTTGTTGGATGTGTGACTTGAGCGCATGCCCACTCCCTTAGGCACTGGTGGGTATTAGCTCTACTACTGTGAGCAATTCCTCGTAATTCAAGCTCAGGGAGTGGAGACGCAGCTGTGACCGATCCCAGTAGCCAGAACACACCACTGGCAAAGTTCCAAGGAGGAAGAGCATTCTTAAGGCTCAGGCCTTCAAGAACCAGGGCAGGGCTGCAATTCGGCTCTAGAGTCAACAGGGAAGTATGTCGATTTGGACAGCAAAAGAGAGGGTGTTGTACCATGACATCTCTGGACCCTGAATGAGTGTGGGCTCAGTTAGAGGGCTCAGTTCTATGTGAGCAGATGCAGTGGTACCCAGGACCTGGGAATGGTGTGGTGCCTCTGTGACTTGGGCTCTGTGTGCTAGGGAACAGTACAGTGTTGGCTTCTCTAGTCAGGGATAGGTCGTTTCAGGGACAGCAGATGATCAGATGATCAAATGGTCCTGATGTAGGGAGGAAGTATGTTATATTGTTTGGCTCACAGGATGGAGTGTTAAACATGAGCCAAGCTTACAGTTCTTTTAGATATCAGACACCATGTAGTTTCGAGCACCTGAATCATGACTATTCTCCTGGATCAAGACTGATTCCCTACTGAACTCTGTGTGTGTGTGTGTGTGTGTGTGTGTGTGTGTGTAACTCAAGATTGAACAGAGGGCTTCATGCATGCTAGACAAGGCCTCTACCGCTAAGATATATCCATAGCCTATGAGCTACTGTGTTAATTCAGGTATCAGAGGGATGGGGTGCTTTAGCACCTGAGATGTGCTTTCTCCTCCTCTGGGCTGCAGCATCTGATACTCAGGGGATAGGATACAAATGAGTGTGTCTGCCCCATCAGGGCACAGCTCCTTTTTATGGGGTCAGGGAATCAGCTCCACCCCTTTCTTGAAGGGGAACATCGAGGTTCAGCCAGCTTAGACGCAGCTTCTCCTCTGTGCTTGTCCACCTGCTCCTGGGGGGGCGGGACACTGTTTGGGCTCAGGTACTGTTGTTATGGCTGCCCTGATGGGCCTAGGCTCTAGAGTAACATAAGCAGTGTGAACCTCGGGCTGATCTCTAAACTGAGCTCAGGGCCTGTGAGGAGGTAGGACCATAGAAACAAAGGGGGCAGGGGTCCCCAGTATTCACAGGGTTGCTTGCTTTTGGAAAGTCCATTCCAGTTGTGAGCGGGTTGACAGCTGGGTGGTTTAGGAATGTTGTTTTGTTCCCTTTGCTCTGTGGCCAGTCTGAGTTTTTGTGCTTTGCACTTGGTGGTGGTGGTCTACCCTTGTCCTTCACTCACTAAGCTACGTGTTCACTTGTGTTTTGTGAGAACGATATGTTTTAGGTACCTGGTGGACCATCTTGCTGACAAACCTCCAAGTGCCCATTCTTTAACTTTTTAAGGATCGAAGGCAGCTGGTTGTGGTGGCACAAGTGTGGCTGATATATTGTGCACCCCAATAAACTTATCTAGGGGTCAGAGAACAGAACAGCCATAATATTAAACATAGAGGTTAGGCAGTGGTAGTACATGCCTTTAATCCTAGCATTCAGGAGGCAGAGATACATCAGGATCTCTGAGTTCAAGGCCACACTGGAAACAGCCAGGCATGGTGACTCATGCCTTTAATCCCAGGAAATGATGGCAGGAAGCAGAAAGGTATATAAGGCGTGAGGACCAGGAACTAGAGCTGGTTAAGCTTTTAGGCTTTTGAGCAGCACAGTTCAGCTGAGAGGCATCCAGTCTGAGCAAACAGGATCAGCTGAGGAATTGGTGAGGAAGCTGTGGCTTGTTCTGCTTCTCTGATCTTTCAGCATTCACCCTAATATCTGACTCTGGGTTTGTTTTTATTAATAAGAACTTTTAAGATTCATGCTACACACACACTGGTAGGATTTGCTGAAGGAGGCAGAAGCAGGAGGATCACGAGTTCGAGACCCACTGGGGCTACACATTAAAAAAAAAAAAAACTGAAGGCAAACAATACATGGAACAGAGAGGGTCTTGGTGGGTATTCAGTATGTGTTTCATATATTCTTTATATAAAAAAAAATCCCCTGAGTTCAAGGCATTCATTTGAATAAACTGATCAAGGCTGGTGTGTTATTTCTAGGGAAACCCTGGTGACTTCCAGGCCATTTAATTTGGAGGGCTTCCCCCAGTGAGCATGTGGCTGACATCTATCTACAATGCACACAGAGCAGGCCTTCCTGACAAAACTCTAAGGCCCGTCTTAATGGATCACGGGAAGCGTTTCACAGCGTGAGTCACTGGTGTTTCGAAGCAACATCAATTTGGTCATAATCGGTTTCTATGGTTTCCACAGTTATCACTCTCTGCCTTGATAATAAGCACCAATAAAACCTGACCTGAATGGGCAATAGCAAGAGAAGCGTCTAAAGGACACTCCTTTTATAGTTTCCTTTCTTGTAAAACACTGCAGTGGCTTCTTTTGCTGAGGCTATCCTAAAATTTACTGCTCAGTGCAGTCTGAGGTAATTGGCATTCAGCATTTCAGGAAGGTTCTTTGCAGCAACAGGATCGATGTCGTGGGCCTTCTCTGTGCGATCAGAAGCAAAGAAAATCTGAATAGAAGCAAGAGTAAGGTGACAAACACGTCAACACCTGCTCGAGCGTGGCGTAAGCAAAACGGCTGCCACGGCCGTGATGCAAGAAAAACACATCATAATAATAATAATAATAATAATAATAATAATAATAATCCTGCATAGCAGATATATCGGGAACTGGTGGTGCTGTCCGTGATGGAAATCAATCCAGGATGATAAACGTCAGTTGCAATTCAAGTGGTCTTTCTTGGAGTCGCAGAGAGACAGGCTTGAAATCAACTTTCAGCTGGCCAGGGCTAAGAAAGAGATGGGCAGCTAGCTGTTCATGTTGTAATGGCTTAAGGGCAGTACAGTTACAATGACATCTTTTGGTAGAAGACGACAACTAGGTGCATCTTCTGTGACATGCACCTGACCTTTTCCTTGTTAGGACTTCCCAGGGTGCCTTTCTGCTTCGTATAAAGCACACTAGGATTGAAAAGAAGGGGCCTGCTCTCTGCAGCATCTAATTCTACTACAGCCCTTTCTCTGCTCTTCCACTCCTGTCATGACAAGCCACTGCCTCCCTGGGTTCCCTTTCTGGGCCTGGAAGTGGTAACTTCACCAATGGGCTCTCGGGTGCATGTCCTGGATGGAGAAAGTGACATAGTTTTGTTATCTTGCAGGACTTTTTATCTTGAGCCTTTTCTGGAACAGCAAGAAGACAAGCAAGGGCTCAGGCTTTCCCAGGGGCAGCACAACCTGACAGAAGACATCCTGTTGCCTGGGCTTTTACTGCTGATGAGGTGTGAATCATGCAGAGAAAAACCCCTGGCAACAAGCCATGAGGACCTGTCTTTTTCTGAAGCACTGGGTAATCTGGCTGTGTTCAGATTTTCCTGTCTTGTATAACTTTTATCAACTTACTTGCTACCTCTCATTCACGAGCACTTCATCTATAAAATGGAAATGATAATAAAGCCCTCAACATGCTGCCTATGAAGTTTATGTAAAAATTCAGTAACTCATATCTGGGCTAGGATTTCAGGGAAGCTTAATGATACTTTAACCACTGTGCATTTTCTATATGCATAGATGATATTTATTTAAAAAAAACAACTTCAAAATATAATTTTACTTCTTCAGGGTCCATCAAACTGTCTAGTCATATCATAAGGACTTTTGCTTTTAGCCACACAGACCTGCTCAGAAGTAGAAGGACTCTGGGACAGATGATACTGGATTTAATGGCTTCAAGCAAGCAATGATACCATTGAATTAGTCTGAAACTACTCTCTGCCAGCTAAATACAATGACAAGCTGAAATCAAGAAAACTGCACAGCTTTAAGAAATGTTTTCTGGGCTCTTGAATCTGTTTTCATCCTGTTTATTGTCAGTTATTGACTGAGCTCTATATGTGAAGGGCTATGTGCTAGTTGCTTTGGTACCATATAAAAAGTCTGAGATACAATCTGATCCCTGGGAACATACTACAGTAAGAAAAATATTGCATACAAGAATAACCATACCAAAAGTAAGAATAAAAACTACTATAAGAATTATGTCAGCATAGGGGTTAGAGATATTTACCATTGGATTTTCCTATGCAGTTTGAGGAAGTACTTCTTGACCTGGGAGAAGGAAAGAGCAGGACCTCCATCTACTTTGAAATTGACCTTCCCAGACCCATTTCAGAGATGGTGTGTCCACTTGCATAAGAATCTCTGGGGCTGCAGGGAAGTGAGGGACAGAGGACTCTACTTGGCATCTGGAGTTAGGAGACCTTGGTTTAGATGTTGTAAAGATCATTTATCAAGAGCAGATGCAAAGCTTGGAGATGACGAGAGTAAGTGACTTTAGTGCAACTAAAATCTTTGGACTATTAGGAGCAGTTGGCTGAGATGATGCATGTCTAGTCACTGTGATTCCTGTTATCAGTCTTGTTAGAGTGCACTAACAAGAGCCCCTCTCCCCATCTGCTGCCTGGAACTGCTATGTAGAACCAACACTTCTCATTGACCGAGCTTATATTAATCACTTCTTTAAATGCTGTGACCAAACACCTGACAAGCCAGTTAAGGAAGGAGGGGTTTCTTATGGTTACAGTTAGTTGGACACATCCCGTGGTGAAAGAGTTATGGCTACAGGAGAAAAAGGAAAAAAAACAAAACAAAACAAAACAAACAAACAAACAAAAAAAAACGGGAAGTAGGGCTGGGCTGGGCAACCCAAGGTCTGCCAGCATTAATCTGCTTCTATCAGCAAGGCTCCACCTCCTAAAGGTTCCACAGCCTTTCCAAGCAGCCCCACCACCTGGCAAACAAGTGTTCAGACAGAGGAGTGTGTAGAAGAATTTCCCGTTCAAACCACAACAGATGAGGTTATTCTTGGACGAGTTGGTAAGGATGCACCCAAACGAAGTCATCTGGCTGTTTGGTTTTTTTGTTTGTTTGTTTGTTTTTAATGAATTGGAGCACTCAAAAATTAATTGATGAGGGAGGCATAAAAGAGACATGATCTTTTAAAAATTATAATCAGGAAGTAAAGGGTCTTGAGTTGCTATATGTAAATATTAACTCAATTAATCTGGAGGCATTTCTGGGCTGCTACTTTCATTCTGTATTTGGGTTTGTGGACTTTAAACATGCAGATACATGCTAAACTGAAGTGAGCAGGCATGAGGAGAATATTATAGGAAAAGAAATAGAAGAAACTTTAAGAATCCCCAGGGGAGCCCCAGGCAGTGGGTTCAGGACTTATTCCAAAATGGCTTTTTGGAACACAGTCCCTAAGGTGGGACACCTTGCTCAGCCTAGACATGGGGTGGGGGGGTGAGGGGTTGGGTGCGACCCTGATCTGTTGTACCTGTTTTGCAAAACCCCCAGCAACCAAGGAGGCTGTTTCCAATGCAAGCACATAAGGGTCCTTTTATTCAGGTTCAACCTGGGCCACCACACGGCAGATGGAAGGAAATGTGGCGGTGGACATGAGCCCAGACACAGAGACTTTTTATAGGGAAAAACCACAAGCCTGGAATTGGCAGTTTGGGACTGGAGAGAAGGGATATGGGGCAAGGTGATTTTTTTTTTTAACTATTGGTCTAGACTTTGGGTGTGAAAACACATTTGAAACCATTGGGTTAGACTTTTGGCAGGGGAACCACAACCCACTGAACAGGATTATCTGGTTTGCTCAGCAGGATTATCTAGATGTCTTCAAGGGCCTAAACTGCAGACAGGATGTCTGCAGGAGGATACTGCTCTGTATCAGTTCAAGTTGTCATGGCACATTCCTGAGGTCCTTCCTAGAACTGAGTACAGCAGGTGGTCTGAGATGGTGGCCCTTTCTCTAAGGTGGAGCCTGTAAAGTCAAGTCTAGACCTTCAAAGGTCCTGCCTCAACTTAGTATGCCAGACTTTGTTGACTCCCCAAGGGAAGCCTTACCTTTTCTGAGGAGTGGATGGGAGGGTGGGTGCAATGGGGGGAGGAGGTGTGGGAGAAGGGGAGGGAGGGGAAACTTGGATTGTTATGTGAAACAAAAAATAAAATAAAATAAAATAAAATAAAATAAAATAAAATAAAATAAAATAAAAGAATCCCCAGGGAACTGTTTTTAAAAAGGAATATATTCTTTTTCAATAGGGACTGGCCTATTTTAAAGAAGACTATAAACATCCATGATCCTACAGTTTCCCCAGTACATTCACAGGCCACGATTCATATGGAAAACAGAACTGGGTTTTCTTCCTAGGAGCTGAACTCCCTGCAAATGTCAGAGGAAACCCATGTATGTTTGCTGGAAGCATCTGAAGGACCCCGGCTTTCATTCTGTGGAGCATTACCAAACTCATGGCTTCCTGCAGGTCACTCTATAGGCTGTTGAGGAGAAAGCAAGGGCTTGCAGAGGTGTAGTTCTAAGAGCAGAGTCACTGTGCCAGGCTTTGGACCGGTGCCAAGCCCTCCACCTCTAAGCCAGTCTAGTAGTGTTCCACTCTTCACCGGCAAAACAGATCACAGAAATTATGTTACGCGAAGTACCTGGGAGTTTTGCCAAGCTCTTTTTTGGCTATCTTTCCATCTATTATTAATACATAATTTCATGCTGATCCAACTGTCTGACTTCTTTCCTCCTGTGCACATTGTGGCAGGATTCCCCTGTTTCTTCTTGTTGTTATTGTTGTTTGTTTGTTTGTTTGCAGACAGTGTATATCCACCATGGACTGGGCTGAAATTTAAAATGTCAGCAGCTGAATATTGTCAGGAAGATCATTGTCTCGGGTAACACACAGTTCTTCCAAGTGGCTTTTAAGAAACTTTGACATAGGATTCACCTTTCAAAAGAGGAAAAGAAAAGATACAAAGAGTTAACTCTACAGACTCCTAGAATTCACACTAACTGGGGATAATAAATATTTGATAACCTAACATAGAGACTTTTAGTTTAAAGAATATGCACAGTCCTTGATTGGAGACTTCAGATGTTATGGACCACTCAAAGGAGATTCTCAAAACATCTCAACTGTGTGAGCCTGGAAGCTCTTGATAAGCAAAGCAGTTTTAGACACTAATGCATCAAGAGGGGAATTGATATCTATATGTATATGTAGAAGGTTTTTGGACACCCCCCCAAAAAAAGAAAGGTCAGTATCTACAAACCTATGTTTACCTACCCATGAGAGGAAATGCTTTCCAGAATGGTGATATGGGATAGTGTTTTATTTATTTCTGTGACTCTAGACCTCACTGGAATTCTGGGCCTGCTGTTTCCTTTCTCTGGTGTTATGTAGAGAACTTTCATCACAGTTCCATCAGAAGTTATTGCTATGATGCTGGTAACATGCACTTAATGAAGAGAATGAGAGCAATGTCCAAAGGTGCAGATATTAAATATTATGGCAACCACTATTTTCATACTACATTAATAAGTTTTGCTTATTGGCCTTTACTTATTAGTAACACAACTACGGCTTTACATGGCAGGATGGGCATTGCAGCCAAGGAAACACAGTTCTTATCCATCTTCACAATTTGACCCCATAGTTACATTCTGAGCAGGAGACACAAGAGCAAACAGTGTGGTTTCTGGCATAGCTGAGATCACTTTGCTGGGAAGGGCTCTCCTTTGGTCTCTCTGCCATTTGGGCCACTGCATCTTGTAGTGCAGTCCCAATGGCCAGTCTGAAACAGCCACCTGAAGCCAAGCCATGGTCCGTCCATAGGAGGGATACTGTATGCTGAGGATAGTGAAGGATCAATAGAAATCTAGGTTCCTGACAGTCCCATAACTCCTAGAAAAGTTCAAGTGTCCTGATGGTAGAGGGGGCCAGGGCTGGTCCGTGCCCTGTGTGCCCAGATAGCTTTGATGGCTCTCTCTTTCTTCTCTGGGAGGAGCATGCACTGTAAGTTCTGAAGATGCTTTTCTTTCAGAAAAGTAGATCCTCAACAGGGTTCCCTGTGCCACCTCGCAGAGCCATTTATTTAATTCAAGTAACATGTCATCACCTCCAACTATCTTACAGAAAGACGGTACAAGTAGAGGGCTTCCTTAAATGACGCAGTGTAACCACTCCAGCTGTTCTGTCCAGTCCTGTGAGAAACTAAACACAGATTCTATTTCAGAGCCAGTGCTTCTGCTGCCTCTGGCCAAAGGTGACAATCGTAGTTAATGGGCAAAAACTATCGTAGTTAAAGACTAGGAACAGTACAGTCTAGCCTTCCAAAGATCTCTCTCTCTCTCTCTCTCTCTCTCTCTCTCTCTCTCTCTCTCTCTCTCTCTCTCACACACACACACACACACACACACACACACACACACCTTTCTTTCCTTGTGTGTAACATGAATTTCTACTCCATTCTACATGGAATATTTTCTGATCTAATTTCCACAGCCTTTACATTTCAAGAGATAGATATAAACACCAGATGCATATTATGAGAAAATCAGATTGTTCTGCAGGGAGAAATACATGGAAGGGCCTTTTCCAACCAAGCAGTAGGCAAAACTGTAATAGATATGTTTGAAATAAAATAGTTCATAGATCAGAGGTAATGCTGCCTTTTATAAAATGTGAATGTGTTCCTTCTGTGAGTGAGAGTGTAGATCAACAAAAAAGAAAAAAGAAAGAGAGAGAAAGAAAAAGAAATGAGCAGGAACAGTTTTTTATTTATTGTTAATTATGTTTTCATCTGCCTTAAATCTCTTAGTTAATTAGCTATCATGTATTTATTCATCTATAAATCCATCTATCTGTCTATCTATCTATCTATCATCTGTCTATCTATCATCTATCTATCTATCTATCTATCTATCTATCTATCTATCTATCTATCTATCTGTGTGCCACACTTCCTTAAAGGAGTGTATCTAATGCACATTCTTGCTTGGCTAAGAGCTAGTCTTGTTTGGTCCTATGGATAAGTCATCCTTAGCTCTGGAATTCTGTGGAGGTGACTTTAAATGAACAGCTCCTCTGAGGCTTGTCTGGATTTCAAGCATGGCAGATGACAGTGTTCTCTGTGTATTACTCAACTCCGTTTCCTCCTTTCTCTTTCGGGCCATACATCAACAAAACTTTGCCGCCATCTCTACCTCACCCTTCCATCTTCCTTAATCACAGTCTGAGTTCCCAAACCATGTCTGCTGAGATATTTATTGCCCAGTTTATGATCAACCTGAAATCTTAGCATTCAATACATGAACACTGTGTTAAAATTTCTATAAAATAGATTTTCTTCCCTTTACAT